GTTGATCCTGCAAATTTAAGATTTGACCAAAGGATGAGTGGATTCAAAACTTTGCAATCATGAACTAATTCAGAAAATAAAAAGTTTTCATCTCCTCTTTAGGCCCAAACCTTCAAGGCCAACAATTTCTGTGTTCTTGGGCTTTTGAACCATTACTATTCAGAGATTTCCATATTGGTATGAGATTAGGCCTTAACAAAGTGGTGCAAATCTAAAGTCATATCATTTGAATATCAAAAAACACTAGTACTACATTTGCCCACAGCTGCCACCATTTGATCTTTTAAACCTTATAATAATATATCAAATAACACCCACACCACATAACATTGAACAAAGCATAACCAAAAAAGTCACAATTCACAAGTATCAAAAACAGCCATGTGCAAAAGACTATAACAAAAGCTACACAAGAACCAAAACAAACAAAATTCAAATAATAATATATTGAGAGTCTCATACCATACGAAGAGTTATCTAAGCAAATTAAATCTCGATTCAATTCAATCTAACACCTCTTCTTCCATAGTAACAAAACGAAAATTTCAAAAAGATTCAAAAGCAAAAGTAACCAAAAACACATGATAACAATAATAATCAAACAAAAGACCTCAAACTTAGCCATGAGTATTCAAAGCTTCCCAAACCAAGTTCTTAACCACCGGATTAGCCTTATCTCTAGCCTGATAAGCCGCTTTCCTCAAAGTCCTAACCGTCAACTTATTCGCCTCCCACCACGACATAGCCCTATACGGAAGCTTATGCTTCTTACAAAGCTCCTGAACCACGGGAGCCACTTTCCTCAGATTACACCTCGGCAGCCTCGGAAACAAATGATGCTCAAGCTGAAACTGCAACCCACCGTAAAACCAATCCATGTAAGGTACGCACGTGATATCCAACGTCCCGGCCGCTTGCTTCTCGAACCAGTCATGTCCCATTGGTGGTCCCATGTAGACATCAGCAGCGAAATGGTTAAGGGTGAACTGAATATGCTGAAGCGCCGTGACGGCGAAGCTGGTGAAGACGAAGAAGAATCTCTCAGGCCAGTTTGGTAGACAAGAAACCAAAAGCGGAAACCACGTCCAGAACACCAATATCCCCGCGAAGTTGAGGGCACGATCTTCCACCTCGCGTCGCGAGAAGAGGAGGAGGAAAGTCTGGATAAAGAGATTGATCCTTCCGAAACACATGACCGGGTAGTAAGTGAAATGCTGGTAGCTGATCAAAAGCCTCGCCACGGGGTCGAAAGT